ATTTTTCACCTTAGTTAGAGTATTTAAAACCAGAAACTTAAAATAGGTAAACAGACCGAACATTAGTTAAAATTTGTGAAGCCAAAAACACATATGCGCAATTTGTAGCTTAAACGGAGCCGGACTAAGGTCGGCATTAGAAATAAAGGTCATTATTATTATACCAACATAAAGATAAGCGTGTTTTTGGGATAAATAGTCGATATATTTTATAAATGCTTAATCCATTTTTTCTTTATGTTTTACTATAATCCATTCTTACTATAATTTTTATGTATGTGTTACTGGAAATATATGAGAATCCTATGAAATTTATATAATTTCGAGACTAGGTATTTACGAACTGTAAAAAATATAGTTTTATAAATTATTTAATACCTACGTATTAAATAATTTTAATATTATTATAACATAGAAAATTTATTAATAATTGCTTTTTCAAATAAAACACGTTGAAGGGAGAGTAATAATTTTTATTAACGCACTTGTTACGGTTAAGAATATCAGGTAATAGTCATCCTCCCTCCCCTCAATAACACTGACCACTCCCAAGACAAGTTCTTTCCTTGTCCTGTCTTGGTAAATTTTGTTTTACATTCCTAAGCCTTTTCCAGGAGTGCTAAAAATGGGCAATTTTATAGATGATCAACATCTTATATTCGTATTCTTTTTTATTTTTACTTTGCAACCTCGGATGTGCACCGCTTTTTTTTTAGGAGCGGCAAATCGTCGAATGCTTGCTCCCGCCTGGGTGAGGCGGGAGGGAGAGTTAGACTCTTACTGACTAAAACCACCCCATTCCTTCTCCTGCACGTCGAGCCGGAGCCCCGGTAACCCGTTAGGTTCTCCGCGACTCCGAATCGGCATCGGCCCTATTGGGCCCCATCTGTGGTGGTCAGATTGCTCTTTGAGCCGTATGCTTGGGTCTGTTTCTGGTCGGACGGGGAGCCACCCGTGCTCGCCGTCCGCCGGCCCGCGCTTACGGTGGCCGGAGATCGTCCCGCGATCCCCGACGCCCGGTGTGTCCTTCGCGATGGCTGGGTTGCGAGGAGGCGCGATGGCCGGGGATCGTCCCGCGATCCTCGACGCCCGGTGTGTCCTTCGCGATGGCTGAGTTGCGAGGAGGCAGCGCTTTGCTGCCTCCTCGCTCCTTCTTCTCGCAAGTCCCCTCTTTGAGGAGTGGCTTGAGAGACGCTACGGCGTCCTTACCTACCGCCTGACGCAGGTCCTCACCGGACATGGGAGCTTCGGCAGGTACCTGTGTCTGATAGGGCGGGAGGAAACGCACGGGTGTCATCACTGCGAGGACCGCCCTGAGGACACGGTAGGGGCATGCCCTGCATGGGCTGACCACCGCCGTGCCGGGCACTCAGCGTATCCCATTTTATGTAATCATGTCACCCTTTTTTCACCATATCAGCAAAGAACATGTTTGTTGTTGCAGCAGAGTTCTTAATAGGGATGATGACAGGGTATGAAAATTAAAAATCTATTTAGTCCGTCAGTTAGGTAATGAAAAAATATTAGACACGTATTTAGTCGTGGTGTCGGTTTAGTGTCGTGGTGGCCCGGAGGTTTAAGACGCCCGCTTCTCACGCATGAGGGTGCAGGTTCGAAACCTACCAACGGCAAATACCAATGTGACTTTTTCAGAGTTATATGTACTTTCTAAGATTATTTAGACACCACTGACAAACGGTGAAGGAATAACATAGTGAGGAAACCTGGACTTATAATTTCTAATTATGAGTTGGAAATCGCCAACCCGCATTGAGCAAGCGTGGTGATTAATGCTTAAACCTTCTCCGTGTGAGAAAAGGCTTTGCTCAACAGTGGGCATTTACATATATGATGATGATGATTTTTTTATTTTGATGTATAAATAAATTATACTTAGATATAACGAATCACAAGTTTATGAGTGGGGGCTAAAACGTCATTTCTACGTTAAAATGTACGTAGAAGTGACGTCTTCGTATTCGTTTCTGTAAAAAAATAAAAAATACGTGTGTAATGTTTTAAAATAATCTACCAGACGGACATTAAAATAAAATTTAGTCATCTACCCTATTGTTTATTTTAATTCAATAATTTCTTCTGCCAGGTCTCGTTTTTCATTTAAGTTGTCGATGATGTCGATTGCTCGGTTGGCCTTTTGCTTCAGAGATTGGTACAGCACAGGACTGTCATTTGCGAGACGCCAGATCCTACTTTGCAACTCAAGTTACAGATTCTTAGTTTCTGCTCCGAATTCAACTTGCCTTTCGTGGCAATAATGCAGACGTCATTTAGCTGCTTCTCGATGGATGACATCCATTTTTGAAGTTCTGGTGTACTTACTTCAATATAGAAGTCAGATTGCTGGCTTTTTACTTGCGAGCTACAGGCCCGGATATTGCTGGGGATTTTGTTCATTTTTCAATCAGTTTGTTTCCATATTAGTACTTAAAGTAATATGGAAACAAATAATAAGGAGGTCACTATGTTTACGTAAATTAAATTTTGTTATTTATACGCACGTCTGTTCACTGCGAGGGCAGCCGAATCAATTCCTTCCTACTAAAGCCTCTGTATGTATGTATTGTATGTGTGTGTGTATGCGATGCGGTTTTCAGAAAAGTGTTTGTTATACCTAGGTGCGGGCTGCGGGTTTTAGTATAAAACCGACGTAAAAACGGAGGTTGAAGTCGGTTTTTTGAACGCAGTCTAACGTACTCAATGGTATCGAATTTGGGGCGCCACCAGCACTGATCGGGCCGAAAGAAGTACCTAATTTTGCCATAGTCTGCCTTTGAATATTAGTGAAAAATTGTTTATTTATTTATTTTAATTTAGCATTGTTATTCCGCCATGTGTCGGTCGCCAGAGACTCGTCCGTTAATCAGTAGGATGTACCACGAGCAGGTGAGGTTGACTGGAGCAGTTCCATGGTTTTGTGCCCCTTTTAAACTAGGCAAACATCGTGAAGGCGCCTTCGAACTAGGTGGAGTGACGATATCCGTAAGGAGGCTGGCAGTGGTTGGATGAGAATAGTTGAACACCGAGCTCAGTGGCGTGCCATTGGAGAGGCCTATGTCCAACAGTGGACGAACACGGGCTGATGATGATATGAAAAATTTGCAGGTGATTCAATACTGAAGAAATGATCTTAGTCAGTCACCAGTGTCGCGGAGAACCTAACGGGTAACCGGGGCTCCGGCTCGACGTGCAGGAGAAGAAACGGGGTGGTTTTTAGTCAGTAAGAGTCTGACACTCCCTTCCGCCTCACCCAGGCGGGAGCAGTCATTCGATGATTTTCCCCTCTTAAAAAAAAAGTCAGTCACCAGTCTTATCCTCTATCTCAACTGATGACAATATATGGTGATAGTGATAAAGATTGCTCGCTGTACTGGTTGAGTTTGTACAGGCGATGTTTCTAATGCTGGTGTTTCTACGTGATAGGGACAAGGACAATGATTTTGAATGTCACGTAATGATTCTAGTATTGCCATCTTCTTGAATATCCTCTCGTCCCAGCGACGTCTAAGGCAGAGCACTAAACATCTTTAGATAGTGGTCTATAGTTTCTGTCTACCTTCATGGGACGAAAGCGTAAGTAAATAATGTATTTGAAACTAAATTGTCTAAAAGTTTCTAAGGGATTCTTTAGGATTAATGTATAATTGTATTTCGTTTCAACCGGTTACTCAGGCTGTAGGCTCCGATGCCGACATTTGAGTTGAAATCGTTCACACAAGGAGTAAATCGTTTTTCCAGAAAGTAGCATATCTATATTATGTGAAATTATAATTATTTATATCGAATAAATTCCAATTCGACAACTTTTTATTAAAAATATTATAGGAATAAATGATTACATTCGGCAACTCCAAGTATTTCGATATGTATTCAAACTTTATGTATTTTGTATATATGTAATTCTATTTTTGGATATTTGATGAGAAATAATACGTAATGACATTCAGCCCGGAAACAACAATTTATGGATTACACAGAGTCGGTCCATCATCCGTGCGGGAATCAAACCCGCTACACGTTACTCGGCAGCTCAGCCACCGCACCTACCGTACAATCTTTCATTGATCTCTTCATGTATTTCTTTGAGAGATTTACTAGACGTGTTTGCTATAATCTCCATCATTGCACTTTATTAAACTGTCAAACACCAAGCGGTCACCGGTGACCGCGACCTATTGTTCTTTAATTGTGTCTATAAAACCGGTACTCGACGAGTTAAAGGTGTGTCTATCAGCGGGCGCTGGTTAATTTCATCTGCTAATTTATTTGGCACAGTATTGCCAGTCCAACACTCTCACTACTCTCAGTTAACTTTTAAGTTCTAAGTGCGTCATACTTGAAATATGCATTGTTTACAATTCTGCAGTACAGATAAAATTATGATATGATTTTTCAAGTCGAATGGAATTTTATCGGAAACTATGTACCATAACTATGCTTTGCTTTGTCCGAGAATTCTATTGTCACAATGCTTTTCAACTAAGCTTATGATGAGTAAAGGCGTATTTTTAAATGCCTGTTCTATAGAAATATTATTATATCTATGGCCTGTTCGAAATTTAAAGTTTAACTTCTAATTTATAAGTATTTTATACTAAATAAAAATGAGTGATTCGATAAAATGAGGCCAAATTAATAGGTATTTTTTGGTTTTCTATCTAGTAAAATACATATAGGTACATTTTTAGTTTTATTTTAATTAACTTTTATCTTAAGTTGTATATATTTAATTTAGTAATAGTTAGTATTTATTTTATTTAAGTTTTTATTATCTTAAAATAAAAAATATATTAAAGTAAATTATATGTATTTATTTGGATTTAGCTAGTTATAAAACTGAAAATTGTCATTCAAATTGGTGCAGCTAATTTAAAAACATAACTTTTTAGCAATTTGTCATGTCATTATTTACTGTCTGGGTGTTATATCATGTTGTCGTAAGCATTTCCTCGGCGACGACGCCCGCGCCCGCCGCCCGGCACGGCACGGGTGACTGGGCCAGCCAGCAGCGCTCGCGGCACCAGCCCGCAGCTCGACCAGACGTAATGTGCTCGCGATAGATGGCATTCAGGTCGGACGACGTTACCGAGCGGACGCGCGTTCTCATATTTCGAGCGCGCTCACCTCGATCGTTCAACATTTCTAACGAAAGTTTTTGTTGTACAGTTTTTATTTAGCTTTTACTGTTAGACTGCTACGCGGGTGCTAGTACTAAGAAAAAAATTAAAAGTCCATATTTAAAAGCTTACGTGTTCTCCTTTCTCTGTTGTGGTTGCCATAAATTGAATTTTGTTACGAGGTGACGTATAAACACTGTGCCGGTGATAACGGAGAATGATGTGAATAGTGTTGTGTTTATGTTTGTGATGTGCAGTTTAGTGTAGACGTGGGTTGTTTACAATGGGGTACGCGTCGAGCGGAGCGGGGCGCGCTGCGCATGAGGCGCTGCTGGCCCGCCAGGATGCAGAGTTGAGGCTCATGGAGACCATGAAGCGAAGCCTACAGGCTAAGATGAAGAGCGACCGGGAGTACGCCCTCGCACTGTCTGCCGCTGCCGCACAAGGCCAGAAGATGGACAAGTGTGAAGAACTTAACGGTAAAGTTCACCGCCACTTAACGAGAATTAACCCTATTAGCACCGCCGAATAGACTCACACAAAAACTTAATTTTACTGTTATTTTAAAGAGTATTGTATATAGGCCAGGAGCTAGAAAATACTAAATTGTACATTACCTAGGCACCAATTTAAAAAAACAATCCCGCTTTAGCTTCACTACAGTGCCTGCAGTGGAATCTTTTCTTTGTTTATGTGATCTACTTTCTAGGATTATTTGCAAAGCAAGGTGGTAAATAAAATAAAACTGCGTTTAAAAGAAGGGTACTTTGAAATTCGAATTGTTTATGCCGAAAGAGCATTACAAAAAAAAATCAGTAGTAAGTAGTGGTATTTTGAACTGCATCATTTTGTCAACTAAAAAAAATATAGAATTTACATTAAATATCTATTACTAGAGTCCAGTTTCTTTTTTCAAATAGACATATGCACACAAAAAAAGATGTCGGAAACCATTGGGTAGCTAGACTAATGATTTAATTTCCTATTTACCTTTGAATAGTGTTTAAATTAAACATTTTTACCAATGATACGGGTGTTGTTTACTTCCGGCAAAATAAAGACCTAGTCTGTTTCCTGATTGTTGTTAATTAAGTATCTAAGATATAATTAGGTAGTAGATAACAAGTTTATCGTTAGCAACTGTTTTTTTTTTCAAAGTTGATTCTCACAGGACTTACTTCTTTACTCTTAGTTTACTTACGTGTATTTCAGGCCTAATAAATGCCAACAATCGTCAGTGTTTAAGATTTAGTTAAAATATTAATTTTCAAATATCGAATTCGGTTGTATTTTAGAGGTTTCAATGTTTTATGGCTGAAGATAATAACTGATGTGATTGCAATCGTAAATCTTTGAATTAAGGTCGATTTTTGATATTAGCTCTGTATGGGGTTTCTGATATTAAGATTCTGAAAAATAACGCAATTGAAAAATTAACAATAGACGTTGAAAAAGAGGCGGTCATAATGTCATTTATAAATGATTGAAGCACCAAAATGTTAGTACTTTATTTATGTGTGTGTGTGTATGTAACGTTAGCAGAATTAAGAAAATGGCAGATGTCCTTCGTGTCAATGTGTGTATGTTCTGCGTGTAAGTCTATAGTAGCCAGGTGCTACAGTCGTTGTTTTAAGAGACTATGTCTGCTTTCATTTCGACGTCCTTGCTTTATTACCTATCAACGGATATTTTCAATATCTACCTCTACATTACCTAAATTAGATTTAGGGGGTCCTTGCAATAATAATAATAAAAAAATGCGCCAAGTATCTACAAATTAATTTTAACCGTACAATTATCCTTTTTACGAATGATGTTACATAATAATTATGTTTTATCAATATTCCAAGTGGTAGGTGTCACGAGTCACAGTGGGCGATACCATTGTTCTCACTACAGATAACCCACTGTGGGTTGGCCCTACCTTATGCTTTAGTATTGTTTTTGAGGACCATATTAAAAAAAATGTCATGGTTATTTCAAAATGGGAGAGGACAGGTAGCTCTTGTGAATTATTTGGCAGCTTTTACCGTGTAACAAGTGAATAGTTATGTGAAAAGTAAAAATTTATGTGTAATTGTCTGTACATGTAAACATTACATATTATTTACTACTTAAGCGTACGTAATTGTAAAATTACTACTCTAACGATACGATATCTTATCTAATGAATTTCTGGTTCATTTTGATTTGCAATTGAATCAACTGTTTATCGATCGCATTGACCATTTGTTTCCGATAAATAAGTAAGCACAAATTCAAAAAATAAAACGAAGTACGTAATAAGGATTAAATAGAGAATTAGTATTTATAGGATTAATAAATTAGGTAGTTTACAAAATGGCGAAGTAGTATAAAAAGAATACGGAGCCGCGGAAGACTACGGTGCCGCGGAAGACTTAACGGGTTACCGTGGCTCCGGTTCGAAGTGCAGGAGTAGGAACGGGGTGGTTTTTAGTCAGTAAGAGTCTGACACTCCCTCCCGCCTCACCCGGGCGGGAGAAGTCATTGGACGATATTCCCCACTCAAAAAAAAAAAGTATAAAAAGAGTGTTAAGGTAATGACGTAGTACGTAGACAGACTACCTACGTAGTTAAAAGTAGGAATCCTAAAAAGTCGGAATGTGCTAAACAGTAAAAAAAAAGTAGAAATGTGGGACGAGTCACTCGTGTCATGTAAAATTCTTTCAGTCAAATTGTGCCAGGAATCAGTCACCAGGTTCGACACGCCTCTATAGTCTAGACAGAAACGTAACCAATAATAAATATCTTATGACTTAACTACGTTACATAAATATTTTTTGTGACCGTCCTAAACATCTATTTCCTCGTCAGTAAATAGCAACGTTTTCTCCTATCATCATTTTATAAGGACAATTTTGGTACTTCAGTGACAAAGGCTTCTCCCTCAGGAGGAGTTTGTAGCCGAATCGCCAAACACGGCTGCAGATACATCAGCTTTGCATCAGCCACAAGACATCCACTGCTTCACGGGCCTCCTCTAAAGACCACATATTATTAAATACAAACTTTTATCCTTATTGTCGACCATGTCAATAATGAAAGTCACTCGACTTATTAACTAATTTTCAACTAAACAGGATAGACAATTGTTTCTATCTTGCCTCGTTGGCAAAGTGGTCGCAGGTGCGACTGCCGGGCAAGGGGCTTTCGGGTTCGATTCCCGGGCCGGGCAAAGTATTACTGGGTTTTTAAAAAAATCTCAGTAGTAGCACGGAGTCTGGAATTGTGCCCGGTATATGGCAATAGGCTCACCCCCTATTACATGGGACTCATAGCATAAATAGTGAAAAGTGGGTGTTACCTCTACATTGTACAATGGCATAATGTGCACCTCTGCCTACCCCTTCGGGGATAAAAGGCGTGATTTTATATTATGTACAATTGTTTCTAATAAACAGTGATTTCAAGTAAGATAAGAATGTCTACGTATTATACATGTATCATTTTATACTTACAGTAATTGTCCTTTTGTTCCAGGGTCCGTGATAGCATCTGCCTGGCGGGCCATGACCGAAGAATGGGAGAATATCAGCCGCCTTATCAGGGCTAACGCTGAGGCTCTAGAATCTAAAGCCCTGGACAGACTTACAACACTCATGACAGAACGACGAAAGTCAAGGAAAGTGTATCAAGAAGATCATACAAAAATCTCTTCGCAGTTCACACAGGTACGTTTGTAACATAAAAAAGTCCATAACATAATTTTTTTTTATGTCATAAGCCGGCAAACGAGCAGACGGATCACCTGATGGTAAGCAATCGGCGTCGCCTATGGACACCCGCAACATCAAAGGCGTTATGAGTGCGTTACCGGCCTTTTGGGGATTAGGAGTTTGAGGATTGTTGGGGATTCAGGTATTGGGGAGATTGGGGAAGGGGAGGGTAATTGGGCCTTCGGTAACATCACTCACATGACGAAACACAATGCAAGCGTTGCTTCACGTCAGTTTTCTGTGAGGCCGTAGTATCACTCTGGTCGAGCCGACCCATTCGTGCCGAAGCATGGCTCTCCCACACTTAAAGTTTATACTTATTGCAAAATCAGGGAAGAATTACATGTTAGTTTTTTGCTACTCCCAAAGGATTTTATCTATAAGGCAAAAAGTAACGATGTCTCTCTTTTCTAGCCCAATTTTTGGAAAAATATTCACTGGGTTTAACCTAAGTCAACTATTGCTATTCGAGAGCTTGATTTTAATTGAAACAGGCTCTTTACCAAGTCCATAAGTTGCAGCTTTCTTATCACAAGTGGTATCACCGTATCGGATCACGTCTGACGTCGATAATACTGACTCATGTACTATTTCACTGGCTCTTTAGTTCCTATTCAATCACGTACGTCTTTCGTTGATAACTTGGAATGAAGTTATCTGCTCATGTTAGCTAGGTACTTTTAAATAAACCTTTATCTTAATTTGTGCAAATTATGGAATTGCAATGCAATATTTTGACTTGATTTTAATTTAGTGTTCTTATTTAAAACCATGCCATGTCGTGTGACTGCAGTGTAGGTAAAAAGTTCTCCGCAATCAGATAGTACCGTTTGCAGTTGCACATATTGTGTTTATAAATGTTTATTTATTTTCTAAATGGCCATGTCTAGAGCCGAACAGTCGGAACCCGCGGCCCGTTACTGACCGGTTCGGCTAGCTTCTTAGTTCCTCGTTCGCTTCCTATCGCTGATCTACTCCCAGTACCTGATCCACGCAATTAGGTCTTAGCGAACGGTGCAAACCAAAGAACCGTGTCGAGGCCAGTTTACAAATAGACTTTACCACCACCAACGTGAGTTAAGTTCCATGTTGGTTAATCGATTTCATACGACGGACACCGCCTAGTACCACTGGCTATTGATGAATGATCCGCTATGATCATTGTCTATAACAAATTGTACAAGAGAACATGCGAGTGAATCGACTTATTGCCAGATGCAATAATACAAATCGATTTCTTATTCGCTCCAAACTAACGTTTACCGGATCGAATCTCAGGGAGGGACCAGTTTTGTGAAGTGTATTTTTGCAGCTTAAGTTCTTGTTAAACTATAAACCTGTTTATCGAGATTAGGATTTCGAAATACTCAGATATCATTATGAACGCCATCTCGTTTAGGTTTTGGACTAATGCCAATTTTTTGCTTGCGATGTAAATAAAACAAGCAATATTGGCGCCGCTGTGCCGTGCGTCGTGCGTTGTACCACCAACATTATACACGCATCTGTTAACGTTTTATCTGGAACTTAAAATTAGGCTGCGCTCTATTTACCAATGCTTACTGGCTATAAATGATTTATGTTTTCGCAGAAACTGTGGGTTTCTTTCTGGGCGTGGACGAAATGAACGTCAGTGTGACTAAATGATAGAAAGTTAGTTATCCGACTCGTGTCATGGCTCGAAGGTAGAAGCGACAGGAAGGACATTTGTATGCTAGGGAATGCACTCGCTTTAATGAATGACTGACATTAGACCGCACAGTAACGACCTCCTGGAATGCGTGGGACGATACCCGGAGAATTACAATTCCGTTCACAGATCACCGTCTACTTGAACTTTTTCAGCTAACAAAGGATTACGTAAGCCTTTGGATCAAAGCTTACAACGATGACTTTGAACTTTTATGAGAGCTAATAATAAAATCTGTTTCGGTCTTAATGTTTGTACGGGACATAAAGTAAGATTGAGGTTTAATAATGTCAGAATAAGTTAGTGATCAGAAGATTGATCGGTAAACAAAGCCAGTGCAAAAGCAACCCAGGTTAGGTGAGAGGTCCTTCGCCCACCGCGTCTCGCTTTCACTCGTTGTTATTCGAATGCACCAGACAAGGATGTAGACATAATTTCGTGATTTGAACCGAGTCGCGTAAAGTGAGATTCTGTATCGGGATTGGTCGCGCGGCACCTGTCAACGTTCATTGGCCCTGCGCCTGCGCTGCGGCGCGTGCACGACTGATTTCTTTTTAGTTTCACCTTTTTGGCCATTATTTTTGCATTAGTTTAAAAATGATTGCTTTTTGTATGAGGATAATGTTGTCTCAATATCTTTTACTGTCATCCAAATACAAGGTTTTTGTTCTTGAAGGATAAGAAAAGAAATTAAATTCCTTAAAGATTAAAATATTCCAAGTCCTATATATCTTGTTCTAATAAGTAATAATATATGTGTATTTATGCCACATTCCCACGTCGATACCTATACCTAAACCTATACATTTAATTAATTCTGCGGTTTTAG